GATCCATCAGGGCGTGACCAAGGGCATATGGAAGCGGCTGGAGTGTGGACGGACGAGGAAGCACCTATGGTGGGGTTCTTTGGAAAGGGTTTCCCGCAGCTCATGATGTATAAGGTATCAGGAGACCTTTTAGATCCCGCTGAAGTTCCATTAGACCATGAAGATCCATCAGGGCGCGATGCGGGCTGTGTGGCTGTTAAGGCCCTAAAACCGCTAACAGAACCGGAACGCAGGGCAGAGGAGTTGGCAGAGTCGTATCTCAAGGCCGAGGTCATGGGCACCGTTTTGGTTTTGCAGCTGTTTGAAACCCTCGAAGAGGTGCAGCAGATCTTCTCGAGGGCATCACGTCGACGGCCTCTTGGCAAAGCATCGAGCTGGGCAACTGGAGCGTTTACTCATGGGGGCGTCTCTGGGCTCCGTGATGGAGCAAAGCGCTTGCCTAATGTTACGAAGTTCCTGGCTAAGTTTGCCCAAGAGGTCATGGGAGTCAAACAGTTTGCTTCAGTAGTTCTCCAGAGAAATGGTGGAGGGCGAGCTCATCGTGACTTTCATAATCGTCCAGGTTCACGAAACTGGTTGTGTCCTTTGACCTCCTTTCAAGATGGTGGATTGTGGACAGAGCTGGAGGATGAAGAGGCTTTAAGGCTTGAGGGCGACATGATATCTAAGGAAGTTAAGCCGGGGGTGGAGATCAAGGGCAAGATCATTAAGGCGGAAAAGGGCAAGGTTTTCTCTTTTGATCCCATGAAATGGCATGAAGTTCAGCCCCATCGGGGAGAGAGGGTCATGATGATTGCGTACACACCCAGGCTCTCGAACTTGAGCGAGAAAGAGCTTGAGTACCTTAAAGACTTGGGTTTTCTTCCTTTTGGTGAGGAGGAGAACGACGTTAAACAAGGCGAGGACGAGTATGAGTTGCCCCTTGATGAAGTAGACCCTGAAGCCGATATACATGAGTGCAGGTCTTCTTTGATCAGTCTCAATGAGGCCCACGGTCAACTCCTTGAAGATTTACAAGATCGGAGCCAATCCTTAAGGTTGCTTCTTGAAGAGGAAAGGTTGTTGGCGGAAGACTTGCGACAGGCTGGTACCTTGGTTGAGGAGGAGGCCGAGCGAGTGCAAGACTGTATCACCCAGATGTGTGAAAGGGCGGCTCAGAGATTGTCTACATGTGACCGTGCGGTGTTGAAGGTGTGCTTGAAAGCTGCTGCCGAACCAAATGAGCCTGACTATGAGCGGCTTCTCGAGCTCCTAGAAGGGGACCTTCAAGTCGTACATACAGTTCCTCTGCAGCAAGTCAGGCCTGTGGTGAACAGATGGCACGCTGCTATCAGTAAGGAGCTGAACAACCTAATCAAGGGTGGAACCCTGGAGGAGATAAGTCGAGAAGAAGCCAGACGTCTCGAACGACAAGGAGTCCTCAGACTTGTGCCGAGCAAGGGAGTGTACACCTTGAAACCTCCTGGCGAAGGAGACACAAAATACAAGCGGAAATACCGCTTAGTGTTGTGCGGCAACTTTGCTGCGCCCGAAGAACAGTTCGGCTCGCTGTATGCTGGGGGCGCCTCAGCTGAAACGTTCAGGACGGTTTTGGTGGTGGCAGCTCAAAGAAAATGGCAGGGTGCCACGGCTGACATTACCGGGGCATTCCTTCTCGCGCCTTGGCCCGAGCACTTACACCGCTACGCAGTAGTACCGCCAAGACTCCTCATCGAGAACAACTACATCGCCGAAGAGGCCTTCTGGCTCGTTCGGGGGCCGTTGTACGGCCTTCGTGAGTCACCTGCCGTCTGGGCGGCCTACCGCTCCAAAAGGTTTTCACAGGCCCGTATCAGCTACAAGAACCGGCATCTGGTCCTGAGAGTATCGAAGGCTGACCCAGAACTTTGGCTCATTGCCTTTGAGGATGAAGAGGATCTGGTGGGATGTATCATTACGTATGTAGATGACCTGTTCTACCTCTCAGAGAGTGAGATCGTTGTTACAGTCCATGCTTGGGTTGTTGAGGAGTGGCCGTGTAGCGCTCTAGAATGGGCTTCAGCTCCTGGTGGCACACGCTATCTTGGCATGGAGGTTTTTCAAAGATCTTCTGGAGCCTTTGAGATCCACCAGAGAGGCTACATCCTTGACCTCCTTCGCTCACACGGCATGCAAGATGCTCCTGGAACTCTTCTTCCTTGCCCAAAGGAATGGGTGACTGAGGATATCTCAGGGGACCCTGAGGACTTCAGCGAGTCAGAGCTTCG